AAAAGATCAGCAACAGGGATCTCTAGCAGTGAGCGAACCAACCAGGAACCGATTGTGAAACAAATATATGCAGGAAGAAATGGAGATGGATTGGTAGCAACCAAAACCGATGTGTTGAGTTCTGAACGTGCAGTTTATACGTTCTATTGTATGTGTCTGACCAAAACATCTTTGATTTATGCATACTAGGAAAATTTCTCGACGATATTAAAAGGACAATTATCTGATGTGAAGTTGCGAGTTCTATTCTACAATCATAATATATCAAAACATAAAATTCACTCAGCAGTGCTGTTAGGTACCTAGGTATACAGATCAAATGAGAGCTCAGATACATAACAAGTAATAGACAACATAATTGTTTAGCCATACTCAACCGTATGAAGTACTTGAGAACCAAAAAGAATATTCCCAATAAAATGGGATCAAAATTCTCAAAAGAGCTAGAACAACCACGCTCCGAACAATTCACATACACCGCCCACCGTCAAAATGACCTTGACTCATTCAAACAAATTTGAAGCCGTAAAAACAACACATTATCAATATCAACACACAACCACAAAGGGGCACATTAAAATTAGAGATTAAATAGAAAAGAAGACGTATAATAAGGATTGAGAAAAAGAGAGATGTCTAAATAAACTGGCTATATCGTAAATACATTGTTCAAGAGGGATTAAACGAAACAATAATCCAACTATAGAAAAATGAAAACAATTATATAATGCGTAACTAATTCATGTGAATGACTTTTTCCATATTTCATCCCATCAACATATCTTACTCACTCTTTAATCTTAGATTTATTATTATTATTATCGGATTTTATCCACTCAGGGTAATTAATATATATAGAGTTTGAAAGGTAGAACGGTTGACCTATTTTAGAAAACACAGAATTCTTCTTTCTTTTGTTTTGTTTAATAGTATACAATGAACAGTGTGACCAGATGGGAATTTTATTCATGATAAACGAAATTATTATTTCCTATGCAAGGAAATAATAAATGAAGAGAAATAGCTAAGTATTATTAAGCCTTACTATTGTATATGCATATATGCATATATATATATATATATATATATACATGTATATTACCCTCCTCCTTTACCTCCCTCCCTTGAAAGCATCGTTTCAACTACAGTCGGAACTGACGAGGATATCAGAGTTAGAATCGGAAAAGCAAGACAAGCTTTCATTACTCTTAAGTCTGTGTGGAAGTCAACAGCACTCAGCATGAAAAACAAGATCCGGATTTTCAACTCCAATGTGAAGTCAGTCAGTGCTACTATACGGATCAGAGACTTGGTCAGTGCGTCATAAAGAGCACCTCAAACAAACTTCAGACCTTCATTAACAGTTGTCTTCGCTCACTACTAACCAAGATGATCAGATGGCCAGTAAAGATCAGCAATAGTGAGGGGTCTCTGGGAGCGAACCAACCCAGCAGGAACCGATTGTGAAACAAATAGGCATGCAGGAAGAAATGGAGATGGATTGGCCATACACTGAGGAAACCATCAAGTGACATCATACGCCAGGTCATCGCTCGACAAGGAACCCAAAAGGGAAGCGGCGAGTTGGTCGTCAGTGCAAGGATGACTTGGAGGAGGTCATGTGAAGAGGAGATGAAAGCATGTGGGCAGACTTGGAACCGGGTGAAAAAGTCGGCAGAAAACCGAAGGCAGTGGAGATGCGCGGCTGAAGCCCTATGCTACTCTATGAATAAAAGAAAATAATAATAGCTTGGCAAACCACCTGGTTACTCACAAGATAACTACAACAGTAAACTGAACTTTGTCTAGTGTGACGCAAAATCAAACTGAAGAATTCAGAGACATTTAAGTCTATTTATTATACTCTTACTTCCTTCCTTTTTTAATTTCATTTTCACTTAACATCTTTAAGCTATTAATATTGACACCTTTTTGTGATCATCATTTATTTGTGTTAAGTTACGTCTGCATATCCTTAAGTGGGGTTAAACAACCTCCATTATCATTGCATGTATGCCGAGCTCTTTATTATTATTCGTGACACAAAATGCTGTATGATTTTCAAAAAAAAACTACTGAAGAGGCATCAGTAGTTCGATATTTGTAAAAACGACAGGATAGTTAACAAACTTAGCGAAATATAAATTATGATGGAAATTTTTTAAGAAAAAATATCCATTTTTCGTATACTACAAAGAATAATCAATTACATTTAAAAAAAAAGAAAGAAATGAATTTATCTGGATGCAGGAATTTTTTCCCTGCTCATAACACTTAACATTAAAATTTATCACAAATCAGTTAAGATATTAGGAGTTGTTTTTTACAACACAAATCCAACAGTGGTAGTTAATAAGAGAGACAATTTGAGGAACAAAACAACCAGCTAATTTTACTCGAAATTTTCTTAATCGCTATGTTAAAAAACGTATTATAATTAGAATCTTAATGTGTTTAGAAAGACAAAACAGGAGATTTTTTTTCGTTTGCTTCTCACTTCAAGACATACATTCTTCATGAGAAACGCTTTGATTAGTGTCGGTGGTTTACTGATAGAATGACCCCTAATCACGCGCCTGTGGTCACAGGTTCGATCCCCAGCCGATGCAATTCTAAACCACAGCCGGTATTAAGACTGGTAAGAAGGGAAATTTGGACGGGAGTCTAGCAGACTCAGACATAAAAAAGAATAACACCACTGCTGCTGAAACCTCGGAGCTCAAAAGATGAAGGATGTCCTGTGTTCCACTAAGAATGCAAAGGAATAAAATTAATTTAAAAAAAAAAGTTAATATAATGTCAGATATTATCAGACCATACATACCAAATCAAATCCTTTGTGCAAATTTGTGTGTGGAAAGTGGCGTGCGTTATGTGATTTAGGCCTAATAAACACAGGAGCTTGCGGTGTGTTTATTGGCTTAGGAAAGAAAATGTAATGTGCATACGGTTAAATTTGCTTATATTTACGGCAAAAAGCACGGTACTGATGAGGATTTGTAAGTAGTATGTTAATGAAATCTGAAGGAATCTTGAATAGTGGAGCAACGGATTAGGTTGAGAATAGGGGAAATGAAGACTATTGTGAATCAAGATATAAAGTATGATTTAAAGATAGAAGAAACAGAATACAAATATTTATATATATCGGCAAAGTTAAACTTTAAGCACCACTAACTACAATGGACTGCAACCTCACCAATGACCTTGAAACGCTCACTGAGCAAGTTAATGAAACTTGTCAAATAATGTTGTCATCATCATTAAAATATGCTCATCGAAGTGCTATGCTATTAAATGGGATATCTGGCAATTTTCAGCTTAGGTTTGTAAAATATTAAGTTACGCTTTGAGCCAAAGATATGTTAGGGTTAGGTTAACCTAATAAAGGCGACATAAGGGTTGGCTAGAGTTAGATTACAGTTAGAGTTAGGGATATTTTGACGTTAGGATTAGGTTCAAAGAAGATTAGGGTTATTGTAAGGGCTAGAAGACCTAAGTAATTACATGCATAGAATGTGGTTAAGTTGCTCTGTTGCTTTAGGGGTAGAACTTGTGCACTGTGGTAGAGTATAATTCCACTGTAAGTAAAAAATGCGTAAAAACTGTATAAAAGTGTTACAGAGGATACCTTCCTCTTACATGTGATAAAATATGGCTCTCAGTTTTAGGTTGGAGTATCAACAGAGTATAATTCCATTGTGGGTAAATTAATTTTCATAGAGTCTCACACTGTTATACACATTTTATTGCTCAGTAAATATGAGACTTTATCAAAATAAATTCTACCCGAAATGGAATTATACTCTATTGACACTCCAACCTAAAACTGAGAGCTATTTTTACCACATATGAGAGGAAGGTATACTTTGTAACACTTTTCTGCAATTCTTAAGCACTTTTTCATAAATATTTGTATTCCATACACATAAAATGCCTCCTCCATGTGATTGATGCGTTCGAAGTCATTTGCTGGTTGGTAGTCAGTGGTGCTTAAAGTTTAACTTGGCCTATATATCTTTTTCAAACTGAAGTTAATATGTAGGGTTTTTATATCTTGTAATAATTCTGTGTTTTTTTGCCAAACAAACCAATTCTACTACAAAATTAAACACAGTGTTCTATTGCTGCATGCCTGTATAACAATAACAATGTGTTAAAAGCCTAACAGTGGTCAATAATTCAACTTAAAGCCGGATGTATACTGTGGCTTATTGAAGTTAGTATTTTTGAAGATGGGTAGTTATTAGGTGGATGCCTGCTTTCAGCCATTACCAAATACAGTCTTGTTGTACAGGCTTTAATGAATTAAAACATAACATATAAACCAGTATATAGTAAATCAGCAAATAAAACTCAAAAAGTCGAAGAAAGTAATCACCAGCTCTTAAGTAATAGGTATGACAATGGGTTATCATTTTAGAACCTAACAAATTACCACCCTTATTTTCAAGAGTCAGTTCGTGGCGATTTGATTTGTTTCAGTTTTGATCACGAACCGATGTCAGTGAGAGAACCACTGGAAAACCGAGGAGTACTGGAGATCAGTTTCGTCCTAGTCTGTGACTCCTCAACAAAATGAAACCACGACACCACCAAGAATTGAAAGGAAAGCTCGTAGACCAGCCAGTCGGCCACTGGGACCCAACTCAGTGACCATCCCATGAATTCCAACTTCTGCCAATTCATGATTTCAGTGCAACCACCAGCTAGTGTTATAGGCAAGTACTTGTTCTCACACACGAACTGGTTGACCCTACTGGTCACGACTTCTCACTGGAACTCACTAGCAATAGTTAGTTTGTAGGGTAAGTGAGTGCCGATGAAGAGTCCCAAACCACGGCGAAACACCTGATCCTCTAACTGACATCACTCTGTGATCACACTTGAAACAAATTACTGCATTAATTTATTTAATACTTTCATACTGAAATTTCACTGAAATCGAATGTAATTTAAGCAAATAATAAAAAAAAATAGGATCTACTAAAACTGCTTACCTCTCGCATTGTTTATACTCCTCATCCTTAAAGCAGCCATTTCAAATGAAGCTGGTATAGCCCGACTCTCATATTTATTATTTGCTTTCCCTTGTTTTGGTGTATGAATTGGTTGTGTGATTTGTTGATGAGCATCACTTACATGACTCTCATGTGTTGTTGGCTTCTTCACTTCTGAGTTATTCATTTCTTGATATAAATCTATTGATGAGAAATGAAGAATAAAAAAGGTCGAGGGAATGATAAAAGCGAGTAAACTGAGGCCGAAATAAGGTTGAAGAATATTGCAAAAATTTACATTGATGCAAACCAAAGATTCACATAAGATTTTATAAAATTCTTCTCCTTAGTAAGACTGAACGAAGTAAGAAAGGCAAATGTGTACCAAGATAATATGAGCTACTATTATTATTATTATTTCCAGTATTCTTCCAAACTGACTACAAACTAAACAATATTTTATTTTAATTTCCTTTACATTCCTAGTGGAAAATAAGGCTTCAAACCAGAGCTTTAACGTTTTAGTAGTAGTGGTGTTTATTTCTACGGGATGGGGTTGCTAGTCTTATGCCCAACCTCCTCTCTTTCTTATTACTGGCTAAGCGAGGTAAAGCATTGCGTTGGCCGGGAATCGAACCTCGAACCATATGCATGGTTGCCAAGCGTTCTACCACTGTGCCAGTAGGTCTGTGAAGTAAACGAATTCTGTCAGAAGATAGAAGGTAGTAAGTTGTATTACTACTGTTTATAAAAATCTGTTGTTAATGGACTAAATAGTACGATAAGGTAACTTTTTGTTGTATTGTACTGCTAACAAAATTTCGATTATATAGTGAGACTTATAGCTAGGAGAAACTGAAATTCACTAAGGATTCAGAACAATTATTTAAGGTTAAAAAAATAAGACGGAATCAAATATATTTTAGATAACATTTATTTTTAAAAATATTCCAGACTCTATATGGCAGCTGCGTGGTTTGCAAGTAGCGCTATCTAGAATTCATGCGGATTGAGGTGATTTAACCCTCTAAACTGAGTCTAACCGTTTGAATCACTGATGAGACAGGCTTCAAATAAGCAAAAAAAGAGGCGGCCATTTGCTTAAATGACTTTATTATGGTTATAACGATAATTACCATTTGGAGTGAGGGGTTTCCAACATACCATATAAATCAGATGTAGGAGGCATCTTTCCAACTGAAATTTCGTCATAAAGCAATGTTAACTATCTTAAGTAGACTATAAATATTTAAAATATGAAATAGCTTGTTAAAAATTTGAGAACAAATTGTAAACTTAATGATACGATATAGTGTCATTTTACTGCCTCTATACTTTAGATTTACAGACGAAAGACAATAAGTATGTTCTTCCACACCATTACCTAGGTCTTCAAGATCAGAAGTTCAAAATCAAAGTAATTGTGATCAATGTTGGCAGTCTATGATTTCGTTACTCTAAGTGAAACACAGATGTAAATTCAGCTTATGACAAACAATCGCAACAGAGGACGATATCATTTGTCGTTCATAAAAACGAAAATGCAACCTATCTGAATTCAGTCAAGCTACTGCAATCTAAGAAAACGGCAGTGACGGCTAGAATTCCTCTGGAAACACTGGAAACAGATCCAGAAACTGAAGCAGATGTGCTCACACCACTATGGTGAAAAGTTTGAGAGGAGGGAAGGCTATTCACTAATCGAAAGAAAGGTTACCTTGATATAAGAATAAAACTTGTGCACTGTGGTAGAGTGTGATCATATCAAGGATATGATTATGAGCAATAAATTGTGCTCGAAACGTCATCAGTAAACATTACTGTATAACACTGTGAGACTTTATCAAAACAAAATTTACCCATAATGGAAAGGTTACCTTGTCAAACTACCAAAGGAAAGCAACTTAAGCCTCTTGTCCACATCAAGCAAAATACTAAGTCGCGTTATCCTAGACAGAAAAAAAAGATGCACTGGTTGCAGAGCTAAGGCCGGAACAAACTGGATTCAGGCAAAGTAAACCATGTGTGAATCAAATTGGAATTCTTTGCATCATTATCCAACAGAGGATAGAATGGAAGTCAAATATCTGCCTAAACTTCATCGACTTTGAAAAGGTCTTCGACAGCGTTGACCATGAAGTAATTCGGAAACTACTTCAACATTACGGAGTGCCCCTAGTTTTTAATAGCATCATTCAGGAACTGTATGACAATGCAAATATCAAGTGGTCTACAATGAAAAAGTCAGCAAAGCGATAGGAGTGAATACAGGAGTGAGACAAGGCTGATTACTATCACCGATCATATTCCTTGTTAAGGGGGAGTGGATTATGAGTTGGACTGTGGGGGCGAAAAGACAGGAATACTTTGAACTAATGAGAAGACTAGAAGATCTGTACTTCGCAGACGATTTATTTCCAATGTCATATAAATCTGAAGATTTACAGTTGAAAACGAACAAGTTAGAAGTAGAAGCAGCGAAGACAAGACTTCAGGGAAAGCAAAGAGAAGACAGAAGTGAAACAGATAATCAACCAACAATAACAACGAGCACTAATCACTATCAACGGAATAAATTTGAAGGAAGTCACTTCACTTTCACTTATCTAACCAGCATCGTCTCAGATATACAGGTCGTGCAGATGAGGATATCAAAGCCAACCTAGATCGAATAAGGAAAGCAAGACAGACCTTCGTTAATCTGAAATAAATTCAGAAATCTGCTACACTCAACAAATGAGCAAGATAGAGTTTTTCAACATTAATGTATAATCAGTGCTTCGATCTGGTTCACAGAATCGGGGCGTGTGTCATGAAAATGATCTTATGCGCAATCATGGGGCCAGTTAAACATGACTATAGAGAACAAGACGAAATGGAAACGTGTCTTTGAATCCCTAGGTCCCACTCAGAACCCAAGGAGATAATTATTATAATAATAATCACTTTTGACATAAACAGTCCTACACCTTGCAGAAACTGCTATAAGATATAGAGAGTAGGAAAGAGAGTTCGTTTATATATATATATATATATATATATATATATACGCTCCCCATTAGTCTTCCCTGGGCTACTGAAAAATGACTATACCATCCTGAGAAGGATGTTGAAGGTAGTTAGTTGGACTAGTGGTGTAAAACTCAGTCAGCTCGTCACTACATTAGTAGATAAGCATCTGAATACATGCGAGAAATGGACTAAAACCATACTCTCTGACCCCCAACACTCCTCTATTCCCAACTCTCTTCTTGTATCTCATCAGGTAGAACCAGAAATCAGTACAAAATAATATATGTTCGTACAACCAAGTATAGGAACTCAACGATACCATATTTGGCCTGTGTTCTAAGTGACAGAGACAGCGTTAAGCGCGAAACCTATGATTTGCTTTGTTGTTAATAAAATAATTTTGGCTCTCTTATTTCTCTGTTATTTGTATTCTATAGTGAACATCTTCTTAAACATACTTAGCTACCTAAATTATTAACATTGGCTTACTTTTTCATTCTTTATTCTATTCCTTCTTTTGTGTATCTACTGGTTCGGACTATATTAGCACTATGAGTACTACTAAATTGTCCTGTCATTAACCATCATGTAATATTAGCTTTGTGGTTGTTCTTTGTTCGGCATTATTTAACTGACAATCTTGTTTGTGAACGCCATTATCACCATCTTAAAAATTATGTATGATGCAGGATTACTCCCACTAACACTGCAAACACCGCATTAGACGTGACAATGAAAAAAACACACAACCTGAAATGTTTATTTTATGATTGTTTAGTGTAGTTCAATCAAATTAACTGATCATCTTGGCGATAAACATTCTTAATATGATTTCATAACTTCTTGTATGATTATAGCTGTTACTGTTCACCGCGCATAAACATATCATAGCTTCCACTACCCAATACTGAGATATTATTTATTATGTTGTTTATTTTCAATTCTACTTCTTGGTATTTTTTCGCATTTTTTTGGTATTTTGTGTTAGATGCAATATTGTGGATAAGTGCTAAAAATTCCACACTGTATCACTAGTACTGTTTCTAGAATAAAGCAAATTATATATATATATATATATGCAAAAGTTCTATATAGAAGACTGAAATAGAAGTCAGCACTTGTTTTCATCTCTAGTTGATGTAAGACTTCACACCAGCCATCAATTTGATTGCAAAATTCTGTTGTAGGCAATGCACTATTTTATTGAAATAAGTCAAAAGTAGTCATTCATTCTGCAACAGTATTTTTTTGTCTCATGAACTCAACTAGTTTCTCTGAAGTAACTGAGTGAGAAAATGTTTCTATTTTTATTTTATTATTTTTTTGAAAACCTCACCTTAACATTTGTATAGGCATACTTCTAGTAGTATCCACCCTTTCTTAAAATGCAAACTCCTATCTGAAATTCCTTTAAAATGTATTCAAGTGAAAAATACAATAAAATAAAAAAAAACCAAGTCTCATAGACATATTTCCTACTCCTCCTCTTCCTAAACACTTCCCTTAATCATGACTACTACAGTGTATACTTCAAAAGTTAGCCATTTAAAAATTTCATCCTATGACATCATAATAAAACTGTTCACTGATTGAAAGAATTGTCAGATGTGTGACAAAAATTGTAAAGACATTAAAATTGAGTGAGTACATCATCATCATCACTCTACTATTACTATGAATAGGGAACAAAAAAACATTTTAAAAATTAAAGAGATAATGATAGACACATAAATCCATCAAACTAACAGTTTATGAGAGAAAAAACAATAACATTATTCTGTATTAAAAGTAATATTGTTGGTTTTTCTTATCTACTCAATATGCTTCCTAGACTCCGCTCAGGAAGTACAACCTATGTGTTCTCACGGTCAACATAAGAAATGACAAGGGAATCAACTAAATAAAATATGCTTTAATGGACCAGGGTAATACATTATTATTATTATTATTATATCCTTTAATTCATAGAGGAACATAGGGCCTCAGCCGCGCATCTCCACTGCCTTCGGTTTTCTGCCGACTTTTTCACCCGGTTCCAAGTCTGCCCACATGCTTTCATCTCCTCTTCACATGACCTCCTCCAAGTCATCCTTGCACTGACGACCAACTCGCCGCTTCCCTTTTGGGTTCCTTGTCGAGCGATGACCTGGCGTATGATGTCACTTGATGGTTTCCTCAGTGTATGGCCA